AGAATATTTTTTGATTTTGAAGGTAGGGCTTGGTGGGGGAGATACGGGTGGTGGCTCATGGTACCCCCTGGCTCAAGTAGCCCCACCCTCCCTTAGGTATTCAACTTTCACATTTCATTTTATGGCGGATTCCACACATTGTCATTGTGTTTCGTAACTCTCCATTTTACCTTCTAGTAATCATTTTCGAGTGGACGGAAAATAGTCGGAGTGTCTAGATACTCAGAGTCTTTGCTTTTCTGATTCACATAACCAAGCCACAAGTGAGTATTTTTCTCTGTATCACTGAATTTGAACTTTTCTTCAGTTTCACATGATCTATTTTTTTCCCTTTTTGGGTGCCTTTAGTGTACTTATCAGGAAGGTGCTGTGTGGGTGAACTCCTTAACTATTGAAATACTTACTATATTTGCCCTCGCTTACTCTAACTGAAGGTAACATAGGCCTTTAGGCTCTGGATGAAGATTCTGTGCTATCTTTTTAACTACAGTCAGTAATTACCCCGTCTTTTTTCAGAGACGCATTACTTCTCGTCAGGCAGCATGTTCTGTTTTCAAGTCCTTCTGTGGTTCTTCCAAGGGGGAAGATCATTGAGCATCATGCAGAACCTGAGGTGGTTGAACGCCGTTCCACCGCTTTTATCTAAGCCTCTAGTATTCTTCAGGAGGGCCAGATACATCAGTTCCATTCTGCATGGAAACGTATCGTTTGTCCTCTGGGAACATTTTTGGAGGTATTAAATTTGCTTCCCATTGTTATTTATCAGCACGCGTACCAAAATTTATTTATTTCATCTGTAGCTTTTATTTTGTTAGCAGTGTACTGCATCACATGAGAATGTTCTTCCCTGCCTCACATTGGGGAAGGAGGCTGGGAGCTGGTTTGAAAGCTGTTCCACCTCAGGTTTGTAAACATTATTGAAACTTTCATGAATGAGTAACTTATAAGAGATAATTTTATTATGTACCGCTGATTTTACCTCTGTTCTCACAGATTACGAGAGCTTGGGTGAATAGTTGTGGTTACCGTTATGGAAGTTATGGAGAAGTTCTGCACATGTTTGCTATCAACGGAAAAGTGCATAAGAAGGATAGGGTGTAGGATGTACTATAAGTTATGTTAGTTACATCATGTAAATGTCACCTTTGTCTTAACAGTTGTAATATATCTTAATTATTGTAACTATGGAGGAGTTTGTTAGAAGAATTTGGTGTAGGATGTATTTTAAGTTTTGTCTTGTTAATTTGTTTGCAGGTTGTCTGTTTGGATTATTTTGTGAAAATGCCATAGGTGAGCTAAGCTTTTATATTATTGTTCCTTGGTAATGCAATTTTGTAGCATCTTCTACACTATTTTGAAGTGATTTGCGCAGCCGTGGTTACTTGTATTTATGGCTGCTCTGCCTGATGTGGCTGTGATGCTTTTAAATTTGATTTAATCCCTAGCAAAGGGTGTGTTAATGTTCTAAACAGTACAATACTTTTAGCCCTTTTCCTTTTGTATAATATTTGTATCTCTTGATCTTCTGTCTCTTTTGTAAAATTACTTTGCTTCTATCTAAATTTATTTAAATCTAGTCTTTGTTATTGACTGTGATTTGAAGTTGAAGTTCTATGGTAGAAACTGTGTAAACTAGTTTATTGGCCAAGGACTGAGCTGTTGAAGTAATTACCTATGTAAGTTATCCTGTTTCTGTATAATACTTCCCCCCCTTTTCTTTTTGTACAAACAGTACAATACTTCTAGCCCTTTTCCTTTTGTAAAATATTTGTATCTCTTGATCTCCTTTCTCTTTTGTAAAATTACTTAAATCTGTATCTTAATTTATCTAAATCTAGTATTAGTCATTGATGACTGTGATTTAAAATTCATATCTTAAGGTAGAAACTTTGAACTAGTCATGAATGAAAATGGAAACAGTAGCCATTCAGAAAATCCCACTTTTAAGTGCAAATTCTGTGGGAAGAGTTTTTCTGAAAGGAATGTCTTTAAATGCCATGAAAAGACCTGTGATAACTTCATGGTCATTCCTCGTAGTTCCACTTCTGCTGCATCTGCAACATCCACTGCAACATCTGCTGCAACATCTGCTGCTGTCTCGGTTCAGTCCTCAGGTGACTGCAACCAGATCAAGTGTCGATATTGTTCCAGCTCATTCACACTTCAAAAAAATTGCTCGAGGCATGAAAAAGGTTGCCAGAAAAACCCTTTATCTTCTTCAAACTTTGTTTGTGAGTTTAGTTTAGTTTAGTTTAGTTTAGTTTATTGTTCACAGCCAGACATTACAAGAAATTGCAAGCCAACACATAGTCAAAAACACACTTTATACAACTGAAAGAAATTCATCAATGTTATAAAATGCACGGTCAATTAAAAATTTCTTAACTTTTAATTTAAACAATTTCATGCTTTCAATTATTCTGAGATCCTCTGGTAGTTTATTGAAGAGCATAGAGGATCTATATAGCACAGAGTTCATTTCAAGGACACTTATATTGATTTTTGAGATTTTAGATCTTGTGTTATAAGAAGAACACGTAAAACTATTGTTCTTTTTCGCATGGATTACTGAAAAACCTTCAAAATTCACTACGCCACCATTTACACGTTGTCAACAATAGCGCTATGAGCCTTTCTGAAAAAGTTCGCATGGTGATGCTCTTCAACAGA